TAGATTGTTCTGCCATCGGTGTTATTCAGGCATGAAACCTCCTTAAAGAAACTCTGCATTTGGCCAAGATGGGTATTTCACATCACCCAAATTCAGTTAAAGTCTGGGCAGAGAGCCAAGACAGTAAGGGAGGTTGACAACAACCTTGGGAATTCCAAAATACTAAGGGCCAAACAAACAAGCCTTCAACTAACAAGGTTATAAAAAGATAAAAAAGAATATTTAAATCTATGCAATGGAAAGTTTCAGTTCATGGATGACATGGAAGAACCAGTTTGCCAGCCTTTGCCCAGGAGACCAAGAGCAGATACTAAAGAAGATTGAAATAATTAGCTTAATATTGAAATCAGCAACTAATGCAACAGAAAGCTTGAATGTTTTGCTTCCTTCTGGCAGCTTCTCTGTGGAGTTGCTATCGGCTTCTGAAAATACTCAAGCGCCAATAAATAGAAAGAGATGGTGTACCAGTCCAAAACAAAAAGGAAAGGGACATCCAACAGGACATAAGAGTACAAGTCCAAATTAACCATCTAGTAGGACAACTAAATAAGGAGAAGGAAAGCCAGAGTCCCCGCCCACTTGAAGAAACATCACTTAGATCAAAAGTAGAAGAACACTGGCAATCAAGATAAAGAGGAGCAACAACAACAAGAATTGCAACTCACAAGGAAAAATACCGAACCTCACAATAACTGTGTCTATATGAGAAGCATAGTTAATATTGACCCAGCTCCAAGTCAAGTTGACATCCGGCATTTTACTACCTAGCCAACCAACCAAGCCAGACCACCTTGCTTCCGCAATCTCATACAGATGGTGACGTGGAACGTGGCTGGCTGGAAAGGAATGGTTAATAGTGGACTAATGAACTTTAGATTTGATGTAATAGCCATTCAGGAAACCTGGTTAACTGAAAGTGGACGAACCAGGACAACTGCCAGGCTTTCAGGGATGGGCCTCCCCAGCCCAAAAAACAAAGGGAGATCCTCTGGCAGGTTATGCATTTTTATAAAGCAAGAATTGCAATGGCAGGGGAAGAAACTATACAATGAAGACAAGTATTTGTATTTCTTAGCTGTTAAATTTGGATATGAAGAGTTCGAGTTAATAGTGGTAAATGTGTATATCCCTCTAAACACATCCCGGTATATTACAACTCCAAATACTGGATAAATTTGGAAGTTATCCTAGATCTAGACGATACATCTGTATTGTACCCTCAGTCCATAGTGGTATTACTAGGAGATTTAAACGCTAGATTGGGCCCTTCTTTGTATGAGTTCACCCAGAAAAAGGGAGTCCCAGGGCAGTTTTTCTATAACCATCCTCAGTGGCTCTCGAGAGACCGCAACGCTGCTGGCCTGCTTCTAATTTCCTTAATTTTTAAGGGTAATCTCCAAATCCTGGGAGGTAAGGATAAGAATTATACGTATCATTACACATACACTTGGCCCATTCAAGCAGTGTACTGGATCTCTTTTGTGTGTCTAAAGATAAAGTCGACCTCTTCTCGGAGGTTATGGTACACTTCAGTGACAATAGCGATCATCAGCCTGTAAGCGTGACATTGCGAGCGAGCTCAGATTCAAGACCATATAACATGGCTGACAGATGGCTCTCCAAAAAGGTAGAGGTGACCCAAAATAAAAGGTTAATGTGGGCTAAAGTTGATACTAAGACAATATCTCTGTCTTAAAGAAGAGAATGCTACCAACTGGGTTACAATCCAGTCTACTACTAACTGGCCGCCAGCCTTCGACACATTCTTTAATCTTTGTAATATCCTGAAGAAACACTTAACAACTAAATCTGCTACCAAAAGAGCTCGAGTGGGTAGATCCAGTTGGTTTGATTCTGAATGCCAGCGGCTGAAAAAGAAATTGAGGGCAGCCATGAGGCTTGCCCAGAGGAATCCTACTGCTCATATACAAGCTGAGATGTTGCACACAAGAAGAGAATACAAAAAAAATATAAAATTAAAGAAAAAAAGCTTCACCACCTTAATTTGGGCAGAACTTGAATTGGCCGCTAAAAGTCATAACTCAGCAATATTGTGGCATTCAGTAGCAGGAGTTCTAAAGGAACAGAGATTTGCATTGATAAGCCAATCTCTGCTGAAGAATGGGAAAACTACTATGTAAGTCTGTTTGCCTCTCTATGTAGAGAAACTGCCTCTAAGCAGTGAACAAGCACCCCCTAAAACCCTTCCCCCTTGGGGGCCAGTCTCTGTAAAAGAGATACAATCTATTATTAAATGTCTAAAGAGCAATAAATCTCAAATGTGGCCAAGAATGAACATTTCGCTTGTAGCCAGCCCAGATGCTAGATCGGCCCCCTGCAAACTCTCATCTCTCGAGGAGCGCTCACTGAAGCGGCACAGGAAACTTCGGCCGGACTCCTTGAGAGATGAGAGTTTGCAAGGGACCGATCTAGTGTCTGCAATGGACACCAAAGGTAGGGTTGACTCTGGCTGCTTCTCTCTGCTGTAGTGCTTCCCGGACATGGTTTACCACTCCAAGCTCCAAGCGGCAGGAGATGAAGGCTGCCTTGGGGCCGCCAGCTGGCGCAAATATACCGCGGTGAAGACGGAATGCTGATGCCGCGCAAATGCAAGTAGCGCTTCGCTCCCACGCTTTCCCGCCATTGCCACCGCCGCTTTGCCCTGCTTCCCCCCCCCCCCCGCAACAGCACCATTACCTCATTCTGGCTGGTGAGGGCTGCTCTCCTTTTTGCATGTTGCACCACCTGCAAAGTTGTACATTGCACGTGCCACCCCCACCCCCATGGTGGAGATTTCCAGGCCCCCCAACGGGCAGGCCAGTGAACTCGGGTGGAGGAGCTGCTCTAGGATGACCAAAGGGCCAGTCCTATGACTACTACAGCTCTGGAATATGAGACTGACTTTCCCACCAACGTCGGCAAGCTACCGTCAGTCTGCCCATCTTTGTTTTCCTTAACTCAGATTGACCAAGCTTCTTGAGAGAAGGAACACAAAAGAGGTTTCCATGCTAGGTGACTGGACCAGGCACTTTCTCTTGGGCCTCCCACCCAGAGGCCTCGCAGAAGCAGACAGGTAAGCCTGAAAGGCGGCTGAGAATTCCCCCCACAGTGGTCCGTGGGATTTAAAATTATGAATTTGGTGGACCCTGAGGTCCAAAAGGTTGGAGACCCCTGCTCTGGATTACTAAATTGACAAATTATATAAAGAGCTGTGGCCTCCCTGCCCTCTGTGTAACAGGAGAACAAAAAAGAGTTGCCCAAAGAATCATGGATATAGAAGCTCAAAGCGACATATCCACACTTAGTAAGGCTGGTAGCCTGAAATGGCAGAGCAAATATAAATGCACCTTCTAAATGGACAACTATTTAAAGTCACAACTGCCAAAACATCTCAGGGAGATATTTACTTGAGCAAGATTCAAACAGCTTGATGGTTAGATTTGGGAGATTCCATTCTATCCCATATAATGAACGTACATATATTTGTGGAGCTGAAGAAGTAGAAGATCTGACTCATATATTATTTGATTGCTGTTTATATAAGGGGGCGAGAGATAAGTACCTTGATCCACATATTAAACATATGGTCCAGTGGGAGGCCCATATTAAAACAACATACCTCATGTGTGGCCAGAATTTGAAAATGACATTGAATACAGCACAATATCTGACTAAAATGGTCCAATGCAGGTGTGAGGGGCAGCTCTCTGCTTCGTCTTCACCCTTCACCACCCTCGCTTTGTGGCCGCCACATCAGTGCATTGCTCAGTATCCTGCTAGGTTATGGCAGCGAGCAACAAGTGGCAAAGAATGAAGTGAGGCAATAGGAGGGGGGTGGAGGATAAAGCAAGGCATGGGGTGCGGAGCAGCCCCACCCACCTCGGCTTACCTGAGGGCCCTTCAGCCAGGCCAAACCCCCACCCCCCCCCCCCCAGGGCAGCCACAACCCTTTTACTAACCTGCTTTCCAGCTCTATTCTCCATCACTGCGTGCAGGGCAAATAAGTAGTCTGTGGGACTACGGTAAAAAAAATAGTTCCAACCTCGCAAGATTTTTTTTTTATGAGAAGTTGGAAGGTCTGGACTATTTTTTTTCCCCGTAGTCCCACAAACTACTTTAGTTGCCCTGCATGCACCAATGGAGAACTGGGCCTGTGCGCGTGCATGCACACCGGGATGGCGTGGGCCGGGCTGAAGTGACATGGGCCAGACCCGTTTCCAGGATGGCCTGTAGGCTGGATCCGGCCCGCGGGCCTTAAGTTTGACACCCCTGCTTTAGGCTAATCAATCAATCAATAATAATAATAGTTCACAGTTTGATTCAGATGACACTTGATATATCAGCAAAATTATTTTCCAAGTTTATTAAAATAAATACTCAAATGATATTTTATTTTTTGCTCTCTCCTAGGCCAGATCTCCTCTGCATTAACAATGACCACAGTTGGAGAGGAACAAGCATTTTCTTTGTTGTCAGTTGGTAGGTTTAACCTTATAAGTCACTTTGGGAAGATTTACAATCTGGAAATATCAAATACAAATAATATTATACAATTATAATAAATAATATCAACACCACATACTACAATTCTGCATTAAGTTCTCAACTTCCATTTTGGAACTTTGCAGATCTCATGGTTGAATTACATGCTCTAAAATTTTGGATCTTTCCACCTTTTCCCATTTTTTTCCTCCCCCATTTTGCTTTTTGAAGAATTCTGTCAAATGAGAAAGTGTGTGTAGGTGTATACGTATTTCTATAACCATACGGATATAGTTTCGTAGCATTTTGGTCAGTCACTATAGTGGAGTTACTTAAGATAGGGCAATATATTTTCAAGGTCAGAATTACAACTTACCACGCAGTAAACTTTAAGGAAATATGTTAAGGCTCATTTGTTTGAGGAGAATGCACACTAAATACCTAGAGCGATTTCTCTGAAACCGCTCACTAGAAAAATACATTCTCACGACTAGGGAGCCGAGGGGGGGGGGACTTACTGTCTAAGGCAATCTTCAGCATCGACTGGCACCTATACTGGGAACCAAACAAGCTGGAGATGATTTTTCCCTTCAACGCGGGCTTCTTCCCCTGGCCAAGAGTTCGCTCGGGAAAGCGACTGTAGCCAAAGTCGTCCTCCTGCTCTTCGCCAGAGTCGCGACTCTCCGGTTGCGAAGTCTGCTCAGATGTCATCGTTCATACAAGCGCGGGCGATGGAGCAAAGTGACCTTTGTTCACATGGCCTCCCCGGCTACCGTACCCGTCCCTCGAATCCAGGCAAAGGCCACCTTCTGCCGAAACCATAGAGGTTCGCCACGCGTGTTTCCTGCTGCCTGTCTGGGGTGATTCATCGTAGGTAAGCTAAATGAGATGGGGTCCATAGAGCTCTTTCTTTATGCCTCTTTTCTAAACCATCTATAGACAAATAAATTATAATTCTCTTGCCTCGGCAACTTTTTAATTCTGTATCCATGAAGCGGGGTAGTGGAAGCGCGGCAGTCATGCGCATTCTGTGTAGGGAGAACGACACTCATGCACCAGAACGCGCATGCGGAGAGGTGGGCGAGCGGAGCTGTCGACGCTCTTTCTCATTTTCTCTTTCTGCCTAACTTGGACTATAGAAGTTGGAAGTCTTTTCCGCTAGAGCGGCTACCAAGACAACTCACTTCCCTTCGTTTGGCGCGCTGGGTGTTGTGGAAAAGGAAAGCGAGAAGGGCTTCGGAGCAGCAGAAGAGTGAGAGGAGTTTGCAGTCGCAGAGGTTGGGGCCGCCCCGCTACTGTTCCCAGGCAGGGCTGGGGGAAAAAAAGCAAAGAAAGCGCATTGAGGTTGGGCTGATGGCTTGTTTCTTGGGTGCTTATGAAAAACCGGGAACATCGAGCCTTGTTTGCCTTTCTGGCGCAGTCGGAGAAATTGACGTCCTCCCTTCTTTTTGGAGGGTGACGTTCAGCATTCACAGGCCGCACCCAGGACGATTCTTTTTCACTGGGGGAATACTGTAATAATGCATCAGGGTTGCTTCCCCGCCTCGTTCGCCCCCCCCCCACCGCGTCCCTTCATGCCCACCATACACAGATATCTTTTTTTAAAAAAACCCTGTCCTTTAAAACCTGTTCCCGCCAAAATGATGGGCTTTCTGAGGCCACAGAATATGAATGAATATGTACAGAAATAAAGCATGCTTATCTGACTTGTGTATAAAAATAAGTTGCACCCGTCATTTGTTCAAATTATTTCTCATTTTAGTGAAAAATTAAAAAGTGGATTAGTTGTTCCATATCAGTTAAAAAAAAGTGCAAAGGTGCTTGCATGGGCAGAATTTGTGCTTCTGGTTTGATTCCTGCCTTAGTGGCTGATTTATTTTCAGGTGAACTGGAAACCTGATTAGCTGTGGTAGGACAGTTGTCAGAGAAACTGCAGAACTTTAACTAGGCCCAGCTGGTTGGCAGGACATCACTTTCTAGTACCAGGGTTCTTCATAAGATGCTAAGATGTTTGCTTACATCAGATTTAATTTATCCAAAGGGGAAGTGCAGTGCGGCAATTGTCCTTCAAAGAGACTTTGAACCTGGATGATTTCAATTTGCTTGTGTTATTTTACACCTAAGTATTATTGTAATAATCACTGGTAAGCTAATTTTTCCACAGTAAGCACATGTGATTTACGTAATACTATGCCAAAAAAGAGGGTTTTTTTAAGCTAAAATATGTTTATGATTCTTACAGACCTATCTGTTTTCCAATGCATTCTTTCATCAGATGAGTTCACCAAATAAAGCAATTGAGTTACAGTTGCAAATACGACAAAATGCTGAAGAACTTCAAGATTTTGTGAAAGATTTGGAATCATGGGAGAAGGATATTAAAGAAAAAGATCATGATCTAAGGCATCAGAGTGGCACTGCCGAAAAAGTAAGACTGGTGTTTTGATAATGGGATGAATAATGACAGCTTGAAATGCAGTCTGTTAACTAGATCATCTAATTACAAATAGAGTTACAAATAAAACACCTATATAGTTAACTTAGGATTCGGTTATATTGCTTCTGTGCCAAAGACTTAGGCGTAATGGACAGATGGGCTTTCTTGCTATAGGTCTAAGTAGAATATCATAAAATAAAAATATATTCCTTTTAAAACGCTTTAGAAATTGCTACAATTCTTCCTCACTGTTCTGCAGTGAAGAAAATCAATACTTGGGAAGGTGGAATGGGATATTTTAAATCCAAACGTTTGTCTCCATATCTTAGATGAGTACTTCAGCTAATGTAAACTATTTCAATCTGTCACTGTTAAAATCATGTGAGAAGCAAAACCTTTTCTGTTAGGACAGATTGTCAGTGTTCAATTCAAGGAAGTGGAATTGCCCTTGTTGGAAGAAATAGCCAAGTTCAGTTCCAAGCCGGGAATAAAATGGAGGCTGATTGGAAAGAAAGGTTCCCCTTATTGATGAAGCAGAACCATCAACCACATGTAATTCTGGGACAGCTGACAAAATGGAGTTTAGAGTGGGTGGGTTTTATATCTTCTGGATTCCTAAGGGGTCATGTAGGGGTCATGTCTGGCTCTATAGGCAAAAGGGGAAATGCAAATCCTAGATGTTTGTCTGAGCTAATTTTGTCAACCTTTGGCTTGATTGTGTTGCTTATCTGAAGTTTCTGCCTGACCCAGTCTTTCTGAATTGATTACCAAATCTGCATTTCTATAAGCTGGCCTCCTCCATTTCTGCTTGGGGCAGGGAAAAGGGCTGGTTTATGCCTCCCTTAAGATTTTTTTCATTTCTCCTTTAGGGGAAATATTCTATCCTGCCTTTTTAATATTCCCCAAAATACTTCATTCTTGGGGTGAGGGTGTCCCACACCCTGTTAGAATTAGAATGAATGAGCTGGAAGGGAACTTGGAGGTCTTCTAATCCATCCCCCTGGTCAAGCAGGAGAACCTATAAGTGATTGTCTAGACCAGGGGTCGGCAACCTTAAACACTCAAAGAGCCACTTGGACTGGTTTCCTACAAAAAAAAAACAACGCCGGAAGCCACAAAACCTGGGTGGGCGTGGCCAATTCGATGTCACTCACTCCCACCCAGTCACATGACCCCTAGCCATGCCTACCCAGCCACAAAACCATTCTCTATGTCTCTCTCCCTCTCTCCCCCTCTCTCCCCCCTTTCTTTCTCTCTGTGTCTCTGTCCCTCTCCCTATCTTCCCCTCTTTTTCCCCCCTCTGTGTCTCTCTCCCTCTGTATCTCTCTCTCTCTCCTTCTATGTATCACTCTGTGTGTGTCTATGTCTCTATCTCTCTCTCTCTCTGTAAGTGTGTGTGCGTGTGTGTCTCTCTCCCTCCCCCCTCCAGGTGACCGTCCTCCTCCTCCCCCTCTCCTCTGGCTGGCTGCGGCTGAGCCAGAAGCATGTGCACATGTGTGTTGTGGCCCCGCCCTCTGAGCCTGTCCCATTGGAGGAAGAAAGCTCCGAGCATGAGGAAGAGGAGTCAGCCAGGCCTCCCGCTCCAGGCCCCTCCCCTCTGGCACTGTCTCAGGTGCCGGCCGAGGGAGAGGAGATTAGCAGGGAGACAGGTGGCTCGGATGAGAGCGAGGGAGAGACATCATTCCTGGACGCACGCCTCCGAAGGAGTGATAAACGCAGCAGCTCAGGAGGCGTGCTAGGGATTAGAACTGAGTCACTGGACCACACCCCAGAGACTATATAATAGAGGGTGGTGGCCAGCAATCCCTGTGACGAACAAAAGTAAACCTTGGATAGTTACTAAAGCCTCGTCCGGAAACTGCTGAGAGGAATATTATTCTGATTGGACTTTTGTACGCTAAGTATCTTATCTTTCTGTTTTGTGGAAATAAATGCACTTGGCAGACGGTGTGTAAATCGCTGCCAAGTTGGAGATAAAGACCTGGGTGTGTGTCAAAGTGTTTCCTTAACCCTCGGCTGGCTGTGTTTGTGTGTGTGTGTGGACGGGGACAGATCAACGTGGGGAGACCCTTCTCAAGCAAGCGCCAAAGCTCAGGAAAGGCGCACGCAGGGCGGGACGCAGCTTGCTTAAGGAGGGCCTCCCTGCCCAGTGTGCATGCACACTGTACTCCTGCCCTCAGCCACAGCTGGCCAGGGGGTCATGAGAGGAGGAGGGGTGAGGAGAGTGCAAGAGCGAAGTGGCGCTGTACCTGCCTTCGCGCCACTTTTTTTTTTTTTAATTTGATTTATATGCCACCCTTCTCCAGAGACTCAGGGCGGCTTACAATGCGTTAAGCAATAGCCTTCCTACTTTTGTATATTTATACAAAATCAGCTTATTGCCTCCACAAGCTGGGTCCTCAATTTACCTACCTTAGAAAGGATGGAAGGCTGAGTCAACCTTGAGCCTGGGGAGATTTGAAATTGCAGTAATTGCAGGCAGCTGAATGTTAATAACAGGCTATTAGTCTGCTGTGCCACCAGGCTGCCTTCGCTTCCTGCCATTTCGGGCTAGAGTCCAAAAAATAAGAGGGGTGAGGGGCAGAGCTAACCAGTGATGGGAAAGGGAGCCACGGCAGAGGGCCCAAAGAGCTCCTTGCGGCTCCAGAGCCGCGGGTTGCCGACCCCTGGTCTAGATTCTTCTTAAAAACATCCAGTGATGGAGTGCCCACAATTTCTGGAGGCAATTGGTTATTTGTCCTCACTGTTAGGAAGTTTCTCCTTAATTCCAGGTTGCTTATCTCTTTGATTAGTTTCCAACCATTGTTTCTTGTCCAGTGCTCCAGGGCCCTTCAGAAGCCCTCCAGTGCTTTGGAGAATAATTTGACCCCCTCTTCTTTGTGGCAACCCCTCAAGTACCGGAATACTGTTATCATGTCACCCCTAATTCTTCTTTTCTTTAGACTAGCCAAACCCAAATTCTGCAGCCGTTCTTCATATGTTTTAGTCTCCAGGCCTTTGATCATCTTAGTTGCTCTTCTCTGAACTTTTTTCAAAGTCTCAACATCTTTTTTGTAGTATGGTGACCAAAATTAGTTGCAGTATTCCAGGTGTGGACTTACTAGGGTTTTATAAAGCAGTAGTAATTCTTCACGTGATCTTGATTCTATGCGTCTGTTTATTCAAGTTCTACCGTTTTCTATTAAATCATTGGTTTGGGATTTTCTGTTGAAGTGTTTGGAAGACTTTATGGTTTTCCCCTTGGAGAACCACTTTCCAGTGGCTAATGTTTTGGACCCTTGTCTTTTAGAAAAAAGCTAGCATTGATTTTATACTACTGCATTCCTGTTTTATAAATGGATGTCATATATTATTGTCAAAAGTTTTCTCAAAGTATACTGCTACATTTTCTGTTATTAGGATTTACCCCCAATTCGGAATGAAGCTTACAAAAAAAGGAAGAGCAAAGTTAAAACAGACTCAAAACAAACAAGTGAGGAAAACAAAAAGAACAAGATAAAATCTTATGATTATGAGGCTT